ATCTCACGTAAAGCAAAGAAAGAAGCACCAAAAAAAAAAAGAATTGTACGAAATCAGGCATCCGCATAGCTTTAATATGCATTTATGTCACTTAAACGTAAGACAGAGAAAAGCAGAAAGAACCTTTAACTGTTGAAGCTTATGTAATTCCGCAGCGCCGTGAAGGGCTTTTAACTGGTTGTGAAGGGCTAAAAACGCAACAGGACTATCAAGCGTTTCTCGACTCTTGGCACATAAACGAACCACCTAGACTAATCACAGTATTATGACGTCGATACTATCCAGAAATGAAAAAAGAAACAAAAACCTTCAATCCAGTGCGATGAATCTTCTCAGCAAGCTGATCTACTGCAATATTAGATGGGGCGCACACTAAAACTTGACCCCCAGTCTGCCGTGCCAGATGATAGACTATCGTTGCTGAAGTAACAGTTTTACCAGTACCGGGAGGCCCCTAAAACAATTACACGCTTTAAAACTGACCACAAATAACTCAAAAGCATCTAACTGAGCGGGTACAAACCTGAATAAGGGATAAAGGACGCTGAAGTACTGTTTTAACAGCTTGAACTTGGCTGTGATTTAATTCTGGCAATCCAGGTGCACTGAACCTTTTGGGAAGAGTAACTTTGAACACGATGTCATCTATTTCGTGCCCCAACAACTTATGATAGATAAACTGTGAAACACATTCTTCGTCCTGTCCGAGTTGCCGCAAAGCTGCGTGCATCCTTGAAAAATAAAACATAATGCTAACAAGAATATTAAAAAACGAAAGAGGTTTATAAATAAGCTTCTGAAGTCTGATAGTACACCCTTTTTAAGGAATAAACGTGATAAATCTACGAGTAAATTACCTGTCAAAAGAAGTTGAATTCCACACAAACTCACAGGTAAAATTAGTACGTACATCCGTTGGCATGGTGTCCGCTTTGGCTCTCATTTCTATTCCAATCTCATCATTATGATCTAAAAAGACACAAAAGGGTTCTTTATTTAACGCAAATGTAAAAAAGTTGGGACTCTACCATTTATCGTCAAAACTTCTCTGAACATAACAGAAAAACTAAGTACTTCCAGCTAAATAAGGAATTTAAAATATAAATCTTACTATCTGGTATTTTGATGACAAAACCAACACAAGTCCACTCTGTCCCAGCAGTCTGCTGGTGCTTTAAACGAAGCTCATCACCCAGCACCAATTTCATACCTACAAGAAAAAGACATCTAAATAACGGCAAAACATGATAAAAAATTGGAATCTACAAAAGTTCTTACTAACTTCCTTCAGAAAATTTTGGCAATTGAAAAAATGCTTGTGGTTTCCTGTTTAGACCGACGTCCCATCTAACATGACCAACGTTCTGAGTTTGGGCTTCTTTTTCACGTCTATCATATTCAGCCTCAGCAAGAATCAAAGGAGCAAATATTCTCCTGTACTGATACGCATCTTCATACCTTAACTGTACTCTTTCCGGTTCCTCGTCAACTCCTGGTTTTTCAAGATCTTCAAACACGGCGTTCGGGTTTTCCTAAAACTACTTTGTAACCATGGAACGCTACCGTCAAAGAAAAACAAGAGCTTTGGTTAAATAGCAAA